CAAAGCGTGCAGCCGATCGGGAACAAGAAGAACTTGATGCCGAGGTACCGCTCCCCTGCAGCGTCTCCTCGCGCGATTTGAACTTGCGGACCTTATAGATGTACTCTCCGCATGTCGTGCACTTCATCGAAAAGGGAACCATCTGTTCGTTGGACGCGGGGTCCAGGTCAACTTGCTGCGATCAGACATGCAACCGAAACGGAGGGAGGTCACGTACGATGCGGACCGCCTGCGTCTTGACGCCCGTGGACTTGGGCCCACGCTTGCGCGTCAGGGCGCGTGGATCGAAATCCGGGGGGAAGTATTTCGTGAGAACCTTTCGCTCAGACATGGTGGGCGATCAAGAGGGGTGCGCGTGGCTGGGTGAGGGGAAGCGCAGTTGCAACTGTGGTGGTGACTGTTGTGAATCGACCCGACGTTGTCACGAGTGGCAAGGCTGTCACTACACGCACAGCAGAATTCGATGTTCAAGATGACGTAAACAGCAAAAGTGGAGTTGCCAGCCAGCCTTGTGAGCAAGTGATCAATTGACAGCTGATGGTAGTGACAGTAAGGACAGTGCCCGGCAGTGGCATCGTGTCTGGGCAGCTGCCAGCTCTCCCTCCCCCTGTCGGGAAGACGAAGCTTCACTTGCCATGCCCACTCAAGGGCCAACGTACCATCATCACCTTCAACAAAATGACATGGACAGAGTGAGCACTGCAAATCTCCGAGACTGATAAAACCCTCCGCATGACCAGACTTCGCTGACTTCATCATATCTGGGCACGCTGAAGACTGCCAACTTTTCGGAGCGTCGGGTTGAGGACTCATGCTTGCAGACTTGAAATGGCCCAAAACAAGGCCGGTGCAACATCTCTCCCCATTTCCATGGCACCACTTGATAAACAGCCCATTTGAAGTGGCACGCATGTCCCTGAGGCTACCCAACCTATCACCTGTCATGACGGCCGCGGCGGCGGGCGGCATCCCCACAGGATCATCAAGGCCACCGTTTTCGAACCGCGCCCCGGCTCCCCGAATAACCTCCTTTACAGCCTCCGTTACCACGCACGTCCCCTTCAGTCCCAGTCCCAGCTCCGGGTATCCCCAAGAAGATCACCAGTCGAGGATCTGTAAGTGTGAACCCAGCAGTCGGGATCAATTGCTTGGTAAGGCTATCTTCTGTTGATCGACTGGATAGACCCGGCTTGGCCGCCCCTGACTCTGCGGTCTCGAAACTCAGACCGAAAGAACTCATATGTGAAGAATCTCTGGGAGAAGACCACAGCGTTGCGTTGGGTGTGTGGTCATGATTGCAAAAACGAGACGACGTCGTACCGTCGTGCGTTAGCCGTTCAAGCATGATCTCCGCCGTCTGCGTCTAGGTGGCTACCCCCCTTCGACATGGTCACTTTACGCTCACGTTTCCCCCCCCAAAACCTGTCGCTCGTCTCCCCTCATTGAGTCCGGATCATAGCTCCTCACGAAAACGGGAATCCTTCACGAGCAGCATCGCAAACTCCCGGTTCGGACTCGATGTATTTGCCAGACCAGGCGCGCTCAGGCCGCACAAGTGTTTCCATCTGCCCAGCTGTGTCATCCTAGTCTGCGTCTCTTTCTTCCCAGGCCTGCCATGTGCCCAACCCGCCGCTGCCGTCTTTGTCTCGTGGGGTGGTGGGGGCTTCCTCGGTGGTGACCTCGTCCGATATACTATGTATACCAACTGAACCAGTCCCCAAACTGCGTCAAGCCAAGACCCGCAAGCTCGTTGCAGTGCAAAGATCAGGAATCCAAGTTCTAGGCCCTCCCCGCAGCGGCGTTGCATTTACCGTCCCTCCTGGCTGGGGAGTGACCCGCAAGATCAAAGACAATCGTCGTCATGAATCATCACAAGCGGCCGGCTCACCATCCTCCCTCACACCCCAGCTCCCCACTCCAACACAATTGCCGGGTCCCTGACCGTATCTGCAATACCGCTTACATACCTAGACCCTCCGCTAAGCCTCAGCTGGGACCACCCAGGCCGGACTAGACGAACGGTAGCGCTGCGCCTCGAGGTGTCAGAAAACAGGTACGGCCAAAAACAGGGTTCAAACAAGAAAGCAGGGTCTCCATGGCCTCTGCTAAAACCAGTTACAGGATGAAATAACCACCCCGTTTCCCTTCCAGCTCGGAGCTTGCTCCGGCAACCCCTGCCCATCTCGCCGCTTGTCTCGGTCCTGGCAGCGCGGCCTGACGGACATGGTCCAACCCGACCCCTGTCAGCATTCACTTACACTTTGCGTCTGCAGCCTCAGAGGTTTCCTTGACGACAGGCAGAAGACCGAGAACGAGATGATCCAGCCGAATCGTCTCTAGCGACGGCGATCGCCGCCGCGCGCCCGTCTCGATACCATGACCTTGCGAGGTGTCTGCGCACATGTACATGGTACGTCGCTTGCTCATCTGCCGCGCACGTCAGAAACCTGGCCCGCTGCCAGTGAAGCCACGGCGCTACAAGCGGCACCTGCGCAGGCTCGCAGGATGGGAATGAGAGAGATGCAGGATTTCCTCCATGTCTGCCACCGCCCCCTCCCGTGGTCCGCATGCTGAAATCCTGCATTTCTGCGTCTTGAGGCGTACCGGGATTCTGACTCGACATGGTCGAAATGAGGATCATCACACCTACAGAAACAGAGGGGTCGGGGAGAATTAGTCAGAAACCTTCGTCTTCTCCCTTGCTTATGCCCCCCTCCCCCCCCCCTTTTCCACTTTCCCTTTTGCTTCGTGAACCTTCTGATTGAAGCCGGCACGGGATGATGGAAATTGGCGTCTGTCTAAATGCCTCAGTACAGTTGGTTCTCTCGGAGCTCTACAGCTCCCCGCCAACACCAGACTCCAACATTTCTGCAAGCATATCCCACTTGGCGGCCGCCTCGTCGCTCGACGCCCGCGCGACCCCCCGCAGGCCCCCGCAGATGAATCTCATGTGCCTCTCGAGGTCGCCGCTGATCCCTGCCAAGATCGCAGTGTACGTTTCGTCCTGGTGTCCCGAGGATTCCGCTGCGGGACCTCGGCCTCGACGATGACGTTGATGACGATCCTGTCTCTCTCCCGTGTCCTCGTTTGTGTCTAGTTCTTGGTCGACGGCGTCGTCGTCGCTGTCCCGCCCCCACCGAGCAGGGCGGGCCCTCTTCGGTGTGCCGCCCCGCTGCTGGTAGGGCGGCGGTGAAGACATGACCGACAACCGCGACAGCTCGTGCCTCTCTTCGGCTTCCTGCGCCGCCCTGTGGCCGCTCTGCGCGCTCAAGTCTGATGATCAGGTCGAGAACGTCGAGGATTGTTTCTCGGATGGGACCCAATTTGCTGCCCAGGCAGGT